GAGAGAGAGAGAGAGGAGGATCTATCTATCTATCTATCTATCTATCGATCTATCTATCTATCTACTAGTATCTATCTATCTATCTACTTGTAGATAGATCCACCCATTCATTCATCCATCCATCCATCCATCCATCCATCCATCCATTCATCCGTCTATCGATCTCTCCATCCATCCATCCATCCATCCTCTCTCTCTCTCTCTCTCTCTCTCTCTCTCTAGCTACATTGGTGAACAAGTTCAGGGTCATATAATTATGGAAAATTCGGGAATTTTTCACCCTAAAATTCAAACTTGGCGGGGTTTGTGACGTAATGACCCCTGGCCTTCCTGGAAGGGCCACTCCGGAGCCAGGGGTGTGACTCACCGGCCCGGGTCACGTGACGTTCCGATCGAACGGAAGGAAACATGGCGGCGCCTGGGTGAAATCCAGCAACTCTTCGTAAGTTTTCTCCTCTAAATCTCTCATACACACCGCTATTGCTTTAGACTGAGGTTAAATACTATCGTGAACGTTTTATAATCGCCCTAGTCTGTGTTATAAGCGCTTTACGATCGTAGTTTTATCGTAGTGAAGTGATGATGTGAGTGTTTTTGCCGATCGCCTGCCACTAGTACTGGGAGTAGCGCGGTCAGATTTGCGACGAGTTTCGGGTGTCAGCCGCCGCGACGCCAAGCTAGAGACCCAGAGCACAGACCCAGTTTTTTCCGCGCGTGTACGCTCTCAAAAAGAGAGATCGGTCGATTATATGTGTATCTTAGCTAAGTAAAAAGTTGTAGATCGGGGTAAGAGACTGTCCAGGTGCCCTGTTGACCGCAGAACTGCGCCTAGCGACCCGTGGAGTGTCCCGCGACGTCGGATGTTTCTGAAACCTACATGTAGTGTTATTCCTGGAAAACCGTCAGCCACACAGCAAGGGTCCTGTTCCGGTCACGGTCATTGACCCCGGATAAGAAAGCCCTACTGTCTGCCTCAGTGATTTTTTTTTTTCACAAATTATCAGAAAGCTTCGCAAGAAAATATTTTATCCATCTCTTGAGTTTTGTTTCACCTCTGACATTAGATCTAATGTTATTTAACGTTATAAATATAACAGTTACCCTATGTTGTTTCCCTAGTCTTGTATGCTTTGAAATGTGAGAAAAAACAAACAAACAAATAAACAGAACCATAGCAGCCTAGTATTAATCATGCATCAACAGTTTGCCTTGTCATTTTTTTTACCCCTGAAGCAAAAAATACCTGAGTGATTGTGGTAATTAGAGAAAGTGACAGATCAAGCATTGGGGCCCATTAAGGGTTCTTTACAGTACATTACATGTCTTGGCTATGAAAAGCACTATTTTTAAAACTTAAAAGGACATGAACATGTACATACTTGATACTGTATATGCAAGCTTTTATGATTTATCTGATGTTACTTAAGTAGTTACATGTAGTTACAATCCTGATTTTGATTGATTTATGTACTAGTAGTAGCTACAATATGTCTTGGCTATGAAAGCACTACATTGTACTAGTACATGTATTTTTAAAAAGACATAAACATGTACATATATGAAAATGTCATCTTTCCCCTGAAAGTTACTGAAGCAGTTACATGTCCTGATTTTGATTAGCCTTATGTGGTGCCTAAAACCAAACTTGTCCCAAACTTCAAAGAGGCTCCATTTTCTTTCATTACCTGGATGGTTTTACCTAGGTTGGACTTTGGTATCAGGTCTTCTGTTGGAGGTACACTAGAGAACAAGCATCTGGTCATGGTATTTGCACCAATGGCATCCACGGGAATTCCTTAGGTAGTCCTTGACACACTTTACATGTACACCTTCTTCCCCTTCTGATCTTCTATCCACCAGCCAGTTTTAAATTCTGTAACTGATGTATCCAGTGTAAGTTGTTACAACACAGTTTCCCTGATTTATACACATTTGAGTCTTTGTGATTCTATAACTTTTTGAGCTGTCGCGAAGACTTCAAGAGTCAAAGGTTATCTACATACATGTATGTTGATAAAGGTTAGAGTAGACATCCAGGTAATAAGTCACTGATTAAAAGTAGTGGATGCTATCAGAAACGTTTGTCCATCATATCCAGTTGCTTGAGTAACTGTTTTTTTTTTTGGGGGGGGGGTTATCTAAATAATTCATAATATGTTGCAAGTTGCATTTTGATAATTCTTCCATTTCCTGGCTATAATGCTATAATAGCCAAGTATTGCCCAGCAAATCTGTCCAATCTTGAGTGCCGGTTTGGAGACGTGCCAGAGAAAGCTCACATTCTTGAAAGAAGGGTGAGAAACCAACCACAGATGTCCCCTGGTTGTGCAGTTTGTCCTCAGTTAGTCAGTACTTGGTCTGGACAAGCCAAGAGACATTACAGAGGTTTTGAAAGGACTGATAAAATCCTCAAAGATAAGAACTGATTTTCTAAGGTACTTAGCCGGGCTTAAAGGTAATATACAATAAGCAATTAAAAGATGTGTGCTCACATAAGTCAAGTGTTAAAAGTCGGGAAACATTTGGTTTGAAGTGAAATCTTGTGATAAAAGCCTTGGACAAGTTACACAAACCAGGAATGACACTACTGTATCAGCCTGGTATCCAAAATTTAACTTCATTTTAGCTGCCAAGTCTCAAAAATTCATCTTTGTGGAGAGGGTGAAAGAGATTTGGCAGGTCAAACAGTTTGTTTACCAGGCTGAAATGACAGCAGGGAGTAAGTTAAATTGGGAAGTACTAAAATCTGAAGGCCATTAGAAGGTGCATGCCTTTAGCCCCCCTGAACAGCCACAGTACACCGAATTATATTCTTGTTTGTACGTACATGTACATGTATAGGTTTGTTAGAGTGTTAACCATTGCAGAGAAGCCAAAAGTGGTCAAAACACTCCAATGCTGTTGGCTGGGTTCAAAGGCCTCAGATGGTGGACTTATCTTCTGTTGAAAACCTGCCAAAGGTTTGCAAATTACATAAACAAGTCATATGGAAAGCCAGCCAGTTTGGTCCCACGAGTTAAACCAAGTCTGCCGGGCCATTATCGGAATTTGACCATGAGGTTAGTGTAGGCTGAGATTTGCCTGGGTCTGTATTAGTGTAGTAAATCCTATCTCTCAGTCTGTGTAACATTTGTGTAGCCAGCCGTGGTATGCAGCCTTTGCCTGTTTTTGTCTGAGTTGCAGCGACAAGTTTACGT